TAATCTTTAGGCCTAGGCATATAGCTTGGTTTTGTCTCTATAGGCTCTTAATATCCTATTCTTCCTTAAAGCTTCTTATTATACTATAGGCTATAATCATAAATTGCTGTTAGGAGACCTTTGCTGTTTTCCCTATCTTAGTTATCTATTCTTTTTGTGTTTCTAGCTTCTTTTTGTCCTACTCTTGTGCTATAAACAGCTTGATTATCCCTTTTCCTTCGTTCCTAGCCCTAATTACCTCTTTAACTGCAATTCTTTCTACAATCTCTTTCTCTATAAGTCCTTAGATTTCCTTTTGCTCCTATAGGTCCGTAATATAGACTCTAACTACTGTCCTCGGGGGTTTTAGCGCCTCCTAACTAGCTACTACTACCTAGGTGCGGTAGTTTAGGCTTGTTTCCTACTGTTTCTTCGTAATCTTTGCTACGACTGTATTAGCTACCTTTGTAATTACGTAGCTTGCCTAGCTGTAGATTGCTTTTAGTCCTCTAAGGAGTTCTAAGATTATTATCCTATATACCCTCTTAGGGGTTCTTCTATCTTCCGCCTTTAGCACCTCCTCTGCCCTAGTATATAGTGCTTTCTATTCGTCCTCCCTTCCTTCTTAACTGTCTTCCCTTCGTCTCTGATTGTTCGCTACTATTCCGACTTTTTAAAGAAGGTATTAGCATAATAATATTAGATCTATAGGGTTATATAGCAAAGAGGATAGTAACTCTAGGGTATACTAGCTAGCTAGCTAGGGTACATTAATTAGTCCGGTAGTCGGCCCGCCCCCGCTCCTACTGCCTTTTCCGACCTCGCTTAGACTAGCCCCGGCCTATCCCGGTATTCCCGCTAGCCCCGGCATTCCCGCGTCCCTACAATTGCCCTCTAGTAGTACCCTATATAAAAGCCGCTTAGCTAGGCACCCTATCTAGGAGCGGGTATACGACGACGTACCGGTCCTAGCTATATAACGCTAGTCCTTTCTCGAAGATCCTTCCTAGCTATACCCGACGATTAGCCTTACCCGGCTCGGGCGTACGGAGGCAATTCTCGAACCTATAACTCGTAACGACTAGGCGGCAATCCTTTAGCAGTCGGAAGCGAACAGGTTTTGTAACTAGCATAAGCGGCACTATAGGTTTTAGAGCTTTCGAAGGTTCCCTACCTAGCTGCTATCTATTAAGAAAATACTTAAGGAAGATTCGAATACTAGCCGTACGGTCGGAGTTTATAGTATATATAAGAAAAAGGCAGACAAAGTAAGACCTATAGAAGCTAGCACTACGATAACCGGGAGTGTAACGACCGGTAGTAACCCTTACTAGAAAAAGAAACGGCTTACTCGAGAAGCGTTGCTTCCGCCTAGAACCGGGCTATATAACTAGAAGTACCTAATTAAGAAGTTCTTAGATATACTACGTAGCTCGCGCCTAACTAAGGAAAGGAAAGCAAAGCTTCTTATTAGAATAGAACTTCTTCCTAAGGAGCTAGATCTGTTCTACGAAATGCTTTATAATAGGGAGAAAGCCCTTACCTAGAGCTTTACCGAAATTAGAAGAGTCGACGCGGATATAGCACCTCCCTAACGGATCCGAACAATTCCTTATAAACCCTAGAGAAAACTAACCTTCCGCCTCTAGCCTAGCCTAGTAAACATTGTAGAAGAAATAATCCGAGAACGAATTGCGAATAGGGTACTTAAAGTTAGCGAAGGAGTATACCGGAACCTATAGTTCTTAGTCTAGAAGAAAGGAACTAAGAAATATCGCCTAATTAACGCTGCTATAGAGCTAAACCGCTATATAATACAGGACGGAAACCTTCCTCCTAATACTAATAGCTTTACCGAGGATTTTGCTAACTATACTATCTCGTCCCTAATCGATTTCTTTTCCGGATACGACTAAGTCCCGCTTTACGAGGCCGATCGAGATATAACTGCCTTTAATACCCCGCTTAGCCTTATACGAATGACTACCCTTCCGTAAGGAGCGACAAACTCCGTTACCTAGTTTGTCCGAGTAGTAACAAGAATCCTTTTTAACTATATTTCCTACCGTACGAGGCCGTTTATCGACGACATTAGTATTAAGGGCCCGAAGACCCGATATAATAATAAAGAGGTCGAGCCTAGCCTAAGAAGATTCGTTACTAAGCACATTTAATAGATAGATAGTGTTCTTATAGACATTAAGCGTGCTAGGTATACTGTTTTAGGTCTAAAATCTTAGTTCCTCTATAAAAAGCTAAAATATATCGGCTACGTTATTAATATTTCCGGAAGACACCCTAATATAGAGAAAGTTGCAAAGATTGTCGTATAGCTAGTACCTAAGAACTAGTCTAGCGTACGGGCCTTCCTTAGGGTTTGTATCTACTACCGTATCTAGATCGAGGGCTTCGTAATAATAGTAAGACTACTCTTCTACCTCCTAAAGGCCGATATCGAATTCTTATAGGGACCGGATTAGCAAGTCGCTATAGATACCTTGAAGGCTACGCTAACTACTACCCCTACTCTTATCTCGATCGATTATACTAAGGGTACTAGGTTAATTATCCTTCTATTAGACGCGAGTAGATCCGGATATAGTAGTAGCCTAAACTAGTGCGAAAGGGACAATATAAAGAAGCGTTACCCTATTCGGTACGAAAGCGGTCTTTAGACCGATATAATACTAGCAAACGAGAGTGCCTTGCCGTACTTAAACTACTAAAGAAGTTTAAGAAGTATCTCGTTAGGTAGTACTTTCGGATCGAAATCGATGCTACTACCCTTGTCTACTAGCTTAACAAATCCGCCTCGGACCTCCCTAACTCGGTAATAGCTCGCTAGGTAGCCTAGATCCGACTATTCGACTTCGAAGTTAAACATATCCCCGGACGGAAGCACTCTACGGCTAATAGTCTATCCCGTCGTAACCCTACTAAAGAAGATATCGTCGAACGAGATAACTAAATCGACGACGATAATATAATCGATAACGACTTCTTTTATAGTATAGTATAGACTAAGCCTGTCGACCTCTTAGCTAAGTCTAGCTTCCTTAACGAGGGCGAATATTAGTCTCGAGAATCGCTTCTTATCGGATACTTTAAGTCGACCCTTCGCTTTCCGTAAGGCATCTCTCGAAGCGAAGCCCGAAGGGTTCGACGTGCTACCTAGAAGTATATTGTTAAGGATCGGCTCCTTTTCTACTAGCGTTATCCGAATTGTCCCCTTTAACGAGTAATTAATAGCGAAAAGGCTAGGGAGGAAATTATCTAATTACTTTACGAGGATTATAGCTATAAAGGCCGGGAGGCAGTATACTATCTAGCCTTAAAAAGGTACTTCTAGTATAGGATATAGTCCTAAATCGCTATATAGGTTCGGTCCTATCGTATATACCGGATGCGAGAGAGATACAAGATTGCTAGGACGCTTTACCCTACCTATATTCGAGTTGTTAGCCGTCGCTAGGTTGCCGATATGCTTTATATCGACAATAAGGGGTCTATTGCCTTAGCGCGTAAGGTTATTAGCGGCTAGGTAGAGGGGAGGATATTTAACTACTCGGGCAAGTCGGTTAGTATATAGCAAATAGCTAAGTTCCTATACGAAGAGGTCTATTGCCGATATAGCTGTCCGGATGAATTCGTTATAGATAACGGATCTAAGAATCGGAAGGATACTAAGGAATTGCTTAAGCGAATAGCTACGTACCGGGTACGGATTTCCCTATACTACCCGAAGGCGAATAGTCAAATCGAGGTTAGAAACCGACCTATCCTAGCTGCCCTTTCTAAACTAACGAACGGTACTATAAATAGTTAGAGAAAATACGTCCCGCCTATTCTATAGGCCGACCGAACGATATATCGACGAACGACTAGAAAAACGCCTACGGAAGTTATATATAGAGGGGCCGACGTTATCCTTCCTATCGAGAATGCCTACCGAACCTTCTAAAAAGTCGACTAAGATACTATACGCGACACTACCTCGTTACTTATATACCGTACTTAGCAACTAGTATATATGCCTAACGATAACGAAGAGGCGACCCTTCGGCTAAAGAGGACTCGCGAGGAGAACGCTCGCTAGTACGACGAAAAGGGAGTAGTATCTAACGCTCCCCTTAAGGTTGGATCCCTTATACTTATTACTAGGAGCGAAATTAAGCACTCGAGGTCTAGCAAGCTTGCCTTTCGCTAGAAGGGCCCCTTTCGTATTACGGGGATTACTGCCTCTAGAACCTCGTACTATCTTACGGAACTTAATAGGGCTAATCTAGCTATTACCTTTCTACGCGATCGACTAAAGGAAGTACCTCTATTCCGGCCTAACCGGATCTCGGGTAAAAACGCTGCTACGACGAATAACGAACCTATTAATAAAGAAGTCGAGGCAGATAGAGATAGCTAGTCTAAGTCCTCCGAGTCTAGGGACGATAGCTAGTCTAATACTAAGTCCGGTAAAGAAAGGGATATAGACGTCTATACGATTACATCCCTTCCTAAGGAGGAGCAAAGGCGAGCCTTTTAAGCCTATACTATAGCTATATACCGAGTCGACCCTAAAGTTAATCCTATCTCTTAGATTAATAACCTAATACGAGACCTTCTTAGCGTACCCCTTATAGAAGATTATTCGAATAACTATCTCTTCTTTAATAGCTCGGCCGAACCTAATAGTTTTCTAGCTTTTAATTACCTAGCCCTATTTACCTAGGGAGAGGTAACCTAGCCTTTAGCTTAACACTATAGATTCGGCTAGATAGCAATTCTATATAGAAGGTAGGACCTATACGAACAAGCCTACTACGTTAGCGCTCTTCCGAGGCTTACCTAGGACCCTAGCTTTCGACTAGTACTATAGCGAGACCCTAGCTAGTAGACGACCTAGAGAGTCTAGGTCTACGACGAGATAAACATATTAAAGTTCGAACACAACCTATATCTCCTTAAGGCCCTAGTAGAAACTAGCCTTGCTGCCCTAGTATATACTAACCTATATAGGCGGCGAGGCATTAGATTTCTCGCCTAGGAGGCTATAGACAACGTTGCGAACTAGGGAGACAACGAATATAGGCTATCCTTAATAAGAATACGAGACAGGCTTCGGCTTACCTAGATCGAACAAGAGGAGCTCCGCTATACCGCTAACTCTAAGGGCCTAGGCTCAAACCCCGGAGCTTTTAACGAACCCTTAGAAGCGGAGTAGGCTATAGAATGCAACGAAAATAAACTACTACTACCTTAGTAGGCCCGATAAACCTATAACTACTCGCGTATAGCCTCTCTTTTGCTCCTATTTACTCGCCTTATACCGAATTTTTTACTCGCTAGTACCCTTATTCGCGCATTTAAACGGATTATCGACGTATACTAGGATCGATTGTCCCTTTATATATTAGCAGCCGGATAGAGTACTACTACTAGAGCCCTATCGTTGCTTCTTTTCCTTTATACTACTACCGACGAGGGTAGGGGCTTTAGTAAGGAGCCCCTATCCTTAATAATATCCCTAGACCTGCTCCCCGGAGTAGTCTAAGTACTAGCCTACCCGCGGAGCGAGTAAATAATTTTAACTCGGTAAAAGGGGACCTACTAGAAGCTCTACGTTACGCCTAGCTTACTAAAACCGAAGCCTACCCTACGGAGTAAGCCTAGGAAAACCTTACCTAACCTTAAAGATTTCCTTTATTTAAAAACCTTTCCTTTGTACTATTTCTACGGCCTACGCCGGCCGGTATATCGAGATTTCTAAGAATCCCGGGAACTCCCGCCTATAGTAGCTAGCTAGCTAGGATATATTGCGACTACTACTACTACCCCTATACTGCCCGGAGGAGCCCTTATAACTATGCCTCAATGCGGTAGGGGTTAAAGCGGAGGGGTTAGTACGTTATATAATGCCTAACTCCCTAGATCTAAGTGCTCTAGTCCTACGCCCTCGAATCTCGCTACTACGCGAATTACCTAGGCCTCTAGAAATGTCGCCGCTGCCTACTACTAACCCTTTACTTCCTTTAGGATACGTGCCTTACTTTCGGATTTATATACAAACGCGCGTATACGCGTAAGGTAGGTACCTCCCGTCCCTTCCCGCGTACCCGCGCTATTACTACGATAAAAAGGCGATCTTTCTTGCGCCTAAACTTCTTTACAAACAAATATACCTATACCGCCCTTCCCTCGACAAAGCGATAGGCGCTTATAGCAAATACTACCCTCCTTAATTAACTATTAAAGACCGATAAACCCCTACCTCCTCTACGCGACCCGATATATAAAACCCCCTCTACCGCCTCGTAAGCGCGCAATAGTAGAAGCCTCTAGTCGAGACCTTATTACGAGCGTAGCCTATAGCGGTATTTCCTACCTCCCTTCCGACTAGCGACTAAGCAATTACAATACCCTACTCGAATAGGTGTAATATCTTTAATCCGCTAACCTATCCCGCTAAACTAAAGTAGATATAATCTACGACAACCTAGGAAGTGTTAACAACTTTATTAAAGGCACGGAGCTAACCTATTATCGGCTTAAGGAGGCGCTCTTTAAAGGACTGCCGAAAGAAATAGGAGATAATCTTCGTACCCGAGGATCTACTATAGTATAGGCCCTCGAGCAGTATATAGGTAACGAGTTTGCTACCCTATAAGCCGCCGCTACTCGTAGGAAGGCTACGGAAGATCGCCGTAAGAACGATATTACTAATAGTCCTATATTCTTTAGGAACTACCTAGACCTCTATAATATCCGAGGTAATACCGTAAAAGAAATAGCTCGAGTCTTTAGGCTATAGAAGGATAGAAAGCTTAACAACTACGCAAACTTTAAGGACGCTAGCTAGGTTTCCGAAATTTAGCTTATTCTTCGTATCCTAAGCAATTACCTATATCGCCGAACGCTTAGAGCGAGATAGGGACGGGCAGATATTAATACCGTTACTATTACTACTAAGGACTGCGTAGTAGATAAGGAGGACGACACTCGTAAGGAGGGTAAGAATAAATTCTTCTCCTAGAGAACGGAGGCTAGTAAGGCGAAGCTTAAGGCTATCGGTATTCGAATTAGCTAATACGAAGGCCCTCCTATTATTGCTATTACTCCCGACGGGCGCCCTTTTTCGAGACCGCTAGGTAGCTATATTAAAGGTACTACTTCTAGGACCCTAGGGCTTAATGTCCCTCGATCCCGTATAGGTATATATAAGCGAATTAGTATACCTATTAGATTACTAGTTATATACAACCCGGCTAGCGACCCTCTAGCTAGATAGGACAACTAGTAGCTATTACCCGCTCGCCCTACTTAGCCTATTAGCTCTCGCTAAAATACGCCTCTATAGCGTAATACGACTCGCCCTAATCTCCTAGTCGAAAACTCTACTTTACTACCCGATCGGACTAGTAGTAGGAGTGGTAATAATAGCCTTGCTCTAGGGGCTCCGCCTACTCGTCGAATTCAGACTATAACGCCTATCCCCCCCCTAGGAAGGACCCGCAGATCGAACAGACTTAATAAGCCGAGTAGAGATCTTGCCGTACCCCTCGAGGAGAACCTAACCGACGACCTTAATACCTTAGGACCTAAGCGGGGAGGCACTATATACTATAAGGAGCTAACCCCCGATAAGGACACTTATATTAGAAACAGCCTAGCCTACTATAGCTGCAATAGATTCTCGGAAGCCGACCGTAGTACTTTAATATAGTACGATAGTAAATCTAATAACGCTACGTAGGGAAGAGCAATTGCCCTAGTTGTAACTGCCCCTTACCCGCCTTGCTATACTTATACCCGCTACCTATTTAGGATAGTAGTTAGGTTTCGAGGAAAAGTTAGTCGAGAGCAGATAATAGAAACCTTAAGTAGCCCTAGATATAAGTATCGGAACGACCTTCTCCGCCTTCGAAATAAGAGACCTAACCTATTTCGGAAGACTCGCCGTCCTCCTATCCCTAGCGACTACCTTAGACTATATCGTTTTTTCCCTAAGGCCTATAGTTACGAGAACAAGATATACAACCCTTTAACTATTAAACGCGTTACCCTAGCGATTGCTACTAAGATTCGCAAGGCCTTCTCCCGTATAGGAGTAATAATAAAGGCTAGCTAGGATGCCTAAGTAAGAGATAGTACTATTACCTTAGATAGCATTACGAGCGATAAAGGCTCTACTAAACTATATAGAGCGGCCGTCTTCGGTTAGTATAATAATAAGAAAGTCGAAGTCGCCGCGGCCCCTCTACCCTTCGGAAAGATATCCCTATCTAACTAGTTTAAGCTAGAGGCTATAATATACCTTTAGCATTAGCGTATAGTTAATAGAGTCTCGAATAAGGGTTGGCTTCGAACCGCCTTCTATTCTAGGTTCTAGTAGATCTGCCGAGGAGACCCTATCTACTAGCTCCTCTACGGCCTTACCCGCCCTAACTACGCTCTTAACCTAATCTCCTACCCGTACTACGCTAAGATAACTCAACCTAGTAACGGCGGTTCGACCGAGTTTGCCTATATTAACTAGCACCCTCTCGATCTCTAAGAAGGTATTACTACAAACTAAGTTTAAGGCTCCGTATCCTTCCTTCCTAAAACGGTAGAGACTGCTACGAAGGTCTTCGCTAGGATCTACTAACTAGAAGTCTTTAACAAATAGTGTAAGGAACTTAAGATCCTTCGCTAGGAAAAGGGCCCTATATACGCTCCTCGGGGTTACATTCTCTCTATTAACTATAATACACATTGCCTAAACACTAAGATAGAGAATACCCTTAATAACTTTATTAAGAACGAGCTAAAAGGCAAGTATCGAAATGTAGGCTAGGAGTAGTACCCGGTCGGTGCCCTTAGAGTACGCCTAACCCTTCCCTACCTTCTATACGGCGCTTAGGCATTACCGAAGAACACCGAGAGGATAACTATACTCCCCTAGTTCTGCCGATACGACTTAGTAACTAGAAAGCTCGATTACGAAGCTAGAGGTACGTTTTAGGAACTCGCCGCTACCTATCGAGACCTTCTTCCTAGCCCTACCTCGCCCTCTAGTCTTGCAAATAAGTACGGTACCCCTCTATACGCGTTCCCGGCTATAGTGCGCCTACGTAATAATAACCTAATCTTAGAAGCCCTCGTCGGTCGATTAAAGTAGGACGATACTATAGTATAGTAATATATTCGAAGACTCTTTCGCAACCTTAACTAAGAAGGCTCCTTATATATGCTCGAGAACTATTTAAAGCAGTATCGTAAGGATATAGCGTCGGTATACTCTAAGATGTTAAGTAAGGTTATTCGGCTCGAGTAGGAACGTTTCGGGGAGAAATCATTCTTTAAGGCTCTTATACAGTCTTTAAAAGACTAGAGTTGCATCCTAAATAATAGCGAAGATCGGTATATACGCCTAAACTAGGATAATTTCTACCGATATTAGCCTACGCCTAATACTAGGGAGGAGTTTAATTAGGGAGGCTAGGGATTTATATACTAATAGGAACCTAGTAAGGTAGACCTTCCTACTAACTAGCGGTAGTCTAGCGCCCCTTTAGCGAAACCTACTACCTACGCTTTGAAAGTCTCTACTCCTAGTAGAGTACTCCCGAACGTTAACTCCTAGCAGCTTAGTATCCCTAAGAAACAGCCTCCTTAGCTATCTTCTTTAAAGCAGCCTACGAACCCTATAGCTAATCCGAATAAACGATAGACCCGCTAGGATATACGGGCTAAGGCGACGCGGACCTAGGCTCTTATCGACTAATTTAACTAGTAGGGGCGAGGAGGCAATTATAGCGGCTAGGGCTATAGAGGTAACTATAGTAGACTAGCGACTCGTAGTAGAAAGAAATAAGTAGTAGGGTATAGTAGCTAGCTAGCTAGGATACCGCTATAGGATAGTTAGTTTGGTTTCTTTACGTGTTTAAGGTTTTTTAGTCCGAGAGGTAAGGAAGCGTTAGTCTAAGGGTAGACTTCTTAGTCCGGGAGGGAAAATATAGTAGGGAAACCGTACTTAGCACCTATATATATACTTGTACCCCCCCTCCTTGTTTTTATACCCTAGAACACATAACTACCTTTATAATTAGAATATATATATACGATATAAGGAGATACAGCTACGGCAATATATAGCAAGAGAGACATAGGAAATGTACCTAATCTAGCTACAATGTAGCCCTCCCTGCGGCCGTTCTCTTCTCTTTAATATTTATAACGCCTTCCCTTCGAAGTATATAATACTACGCCGACCCCTCGCAGTTTACTAAGTACTAGGCCTATAGTATATAGTTCCCTATATATGTACCTCTACCTACGACCTACTCGTCCCGCCTATACTAGCTAAATAGATTACCGACTCTATATAATAATATTCTTAGAGCTAGCAAGCTTGCGTATAAGGTTTAGCTAGCGAAGAATACGGAATTTCTCGCTCTAAGCTATTACTCTTTAATTACTACCCTCGAGAATAGATTATAGCTACGGAGAATAGATTATAGTCGCGATAAATAGATTGTTACCGCCGCTAATACATTAGCACCCCTATAAATGGATTCTAGCTAGCGAGAATAGATTGTTACCGCCGTTAACATATTGGCACCCCTATGAATGGTTTGTAGCTGCGGATAATGGATTGTAGCCGCGATAAATGGATTGTCATTCCCATTAATGCATTAGCACCCCCATGAATGGTTTGTAGCTGCGGAGAATGGATTGTGGCCGCGATGAATGGATTGTGATTCCCATCAATGCATTGTAGCCGCCGTGAATGGATTGTCATTCCCACCAATGCATTGTGGCCGCCATAGAGCGTGGCCGCCAGAACGGATTGTCGCCGCTATGAATGCACTGTCACACCGTGAATGAATTGTGGCCCCCGTGAATGCATTGTGACCGCCATCAATTAGTTATTAAGGCGATCTGCCTTTGCGAATACTGTGCGCATTGTCACTCCTATGAATGCATTGTGGCCGTCGTGAAGGCATTCTCACTCCTATGAATGCATTGTGGCCGCCATAGAGCATAAAGCGTAGCCGCCAGAACGGATTGTCGCCGCCGTGAATGCATTGCCAACCCCGTGAATGCATTGTGGCCGGCATAGAGCGTGATGGAGCGTGAAGCGTGGCCGGCATAGAGAGTGGAGTGTGGCCGCCATGGGGCGTGAGCGTAGCCGCCATGAGGTGTGAAACGTGAAGCGTGGCCGGCATTGAGCGTGGAATGTGGCCGCTGCGAAGCGTGAAGCGTAGCCGCCATGAAGCGTGAAACGTGAAGCGTGGCCGGCATTGGGCGTGGAGTGTGGCCGGCATAGAGAGTAGAGTGTAGCCGGCATGGAGAGTGAAGCGTAGCCGCCGTGAAGTGTGAGACGTGAAGGGTGGCCGCCATGAAGTGTGAAACGTGAAGCGTAGCAGGCATTGAGCGTGGAGTGTGGCCGCTATGGAGAGTGGAGTTTGGCCGCCATGGGGCGTGAGCGTAGCAGCCATGATGTCTGACCGCCGCAAAGTGTGACCGTGGTGAACCCTCGCTACACGTCTCCTTCCATGCACAAGTCTGGTTGTCCTTTCGCACTCGCTGCAGACACCTGTTTCCACTTCCCTGGAATCAATCAGCAGCTTATTGTGCCCACAAGAAACGAAAACAGGAAGGACGTTTGTTGAGTTGGGTGGCGGAGGCAGGCGTTGATGAAGGAGATGAGATGCTAGATGTTGTGGGGAGGGCAAATGGAAAATGACTCCTCCTGACAGTGCCAGACTCCGGAGGATGTGTGTCGGTAGTTGAGACGAAGGGTGGATAGGAAGAGAGAGTTGTGAGTGGGTGGGATCGTCAAGGTCAGGCCTGATGTAGGCTCAGAAGATGTTGTGTGGCCAGTCAGCCAGCCATTCTATCTCGGGCAAGCAGGAAAGTCAGTAGCGAGGCCAGGAGGGTGATGGATGTGTCAGAGACGCAATGCAGCATTCGATGGGCGTCGACGAGGTAATCATCATGTCATGCTCGAAGGCGTATTGTGTATACAGACAGGGTGAACGGATCATCCAAGGTCTGTTCATAGAGGCCCGACGACTTGTATTGCAGGGTAAGAGAAGCTTCTGCCTCACTAGACATGCTGTTTGTTGTCAGTATCCCTACGGCCCATGCAATCCTCAGTCACGCCTTAGTTCAGTGATGTGCATTTGAAAGAGATTGCATTCATTGCCATTGTTCTGCGCGCGGTCCTTGTCTTCCCTCCATGCATTGCTATTGTTCTGCGCGAAGCCCTTGTCTGCCCTCCATTCACTGATATTGCTCTGCGCGCGGTCCTTCTCTTCCCTCCATACATCGCCATTGTTCTGCGCGAAGCCCTTGTCTGTCCTCCATTCACTGCCATTGCCCTGCGCGCGGTCCTTGTCTTCCCTCCATGCATTGCCATTGTCCTGCGCGAAGCCCTTGTCTGCCCTCCATTCACTGCCATTGCTCTGCGCGCAGTCTTTGTCTGCCCTCCATTGTCCCAGAGCCAGCGAGCGAGCGCAGCCAAAACCCTTCTATTCGTCATTGCCGTTGGCCGCATGCAAGCGCCGCTTGTACTCATTGTACTGATGCTTCAGCTTTTGCAGTCCTTCAGGTGTGGGATCAACATCGCCAGCGCCTGCACCTCCCATGGTCATAGCCGTATCGTCGCTGTCGTATGCGTCGCGTGCAAGTCTGCTGCTGCGTGCAGGGCGAGGATTCGTCGGTTGGGGCTGCGGCTGCGGCTGCGGCTGCGACTGCGACTGCGGCTGCGACTGCGACTGCGGCTGGGCTGCTGGTGTGGCGGTCGGCTGGATGGGCGCTGATGGCAATGCGGTGGGAGCCAAGTTGGGTTGGTTGTTGCTGAAGTTGAAGTGGTGCGGACTCGGATTGGGAATTGGATTCGGCACGTCGGCGGCGGAATACACGACGCGCACCAATGACGGACCATCGCCTGCCCCTCCTCCTCCTCCTCCGCCGCCGGGACGATGAGCTTGCTGCAGAGTGGCGAGAGGCGCGTCGTCCATGCGCGGAATGGTGGTGGTGGGGGCGCCGCCATTGTTCATCAGCAGCGAAGAAAAGTCGATGCAGGCGCGATTGGTCCAGGTGTGGTCGACAGCGGCAACGCCTCCCGCGGCGACGGGCTTGTTGCTGCTTTGCTGTGCACACGTCGCCGGTCAGTCATCAACATCAGCACCAACGAAAGCGAAAGCGAAAGCGAACGTACGGTATACGAAGTGTGCCACTCCAGGTGCACGAGCATGCCCTCATGCCGCACCGCCAGCTGCTGCGCCGTCTCCTGCACGTGCTGCGTCACGCCGTCCACCAGCGATCCCGGCTCCTCGATTTCATGCCGCATCGTCTCCTTGTGCACCACTTTGAAGTCGCCGTGCTGTACCGGCCGCTGCAGTGCCGTGTGGCAGTACGTGTGCTTCACGCCGTCAATGCGCTCCGTCGCCATTCGCGTGAACACCGGTTCCGCCTCCGCCATCGCCATGCTTGCCATCTTCAACTTCAACGACTGCACCTTCGACTCACAGTTTGACTGCCACTTCTGCTCAGGCCTGATGATCGAGGATTGAGCGTCGTGGAGCCAAAGAAGATGAGTTGGAGATGCGCCATCATGCGGCCGTCAGACAGTGAGACACTCAGTGACTTGGCGTCCGCCGGCAGTCGACTCCTCGCTCCACCACCCAGCCTGCCAGGGCCGAGCCTCAGCCTTGTCCGTGTCCTCCTTTATCCGTGTCCTCCTTCGATACAGGCCTTGCCGTTCTTCTCCCTGAATAAGCCCATTTTTCCGCCTCGCACTCGCAGATCATGGAGAAGGTGAATGCGCACCTTCTCACGGCACAATGCATTCGACTAATAATACAATGGCATTGCCTTGGCCTGCCCCGAGCAATGAAAGCCATTTGTCAATGCCATTGTCTCCCAGGTAGATAATGCCTTGTCCTGCCTGACACAATGCTTTCTCCTGTTGCCGCTTCCACCCCAGGGAAAGTATAAAAGCAGTCTTCCATCTCCCTCTGACCCGACATTACATCTTTCAGACCACACACCTGCCTCACGATCGATGCAGACTATCCGCAGCGCAGATACTCCGACGTCGAGCAACAGCAACACAAACCACACGCAACAGCGACAGACCCAACATCTCCGACCATCCCATCATTCGACAATGTCTACCAAGACGTTCGTCCCACTGCCCACGTTGGATCACGACATGTCCATCATCTACCCGCCCTCCCATGCACACGGCACTTTCATCCCACTCCCCACCTTGGACCACGACATGTCCGTCATCTACCCAGACCACTCAGTCTCTCGGGCTGAGCAAGCAACAACGAGGGAAGTAGAAGAGGAAGTATCTCCCCCACTCTCCCCAACTAACAATCTCCCAGCCCCATCCCCCATCCCCCCTCTCATCACCCTTCACCAACAACCAAACACCGACCCTCATCTCCCCATCCTCCAAGCCATCCGACTCGACGCCGTCGCCATGGCCCTCCTCCTCCCAGCAGGAACCTTTCCTTCCGACGCCGAAATCGCCGAAATCACGGGATATCGAGTGGCACTTGCATCATCATCCTCTTCGACCGAGGTGCCCTTGCCATCGCCATTGCGTCGTTCGACCTGCCCATTCCCGATTCCCAATCCCAACCCCATTTCGACTGAGACACGCAGCCGCAGCCGTAGTATCTCAGCACTACCGCAGCCGCAACTCTCTCTCCCTAGTCCTTCTCGTCCTCCCCGCCGCTTTCGAGGGAAGTTGAATAAGGTTGGCGAGAGGATTCGGGCGATTGGGAAGAGGTTTTGTTTATGCTAAGGGAGAGGGAGAGGGAGAGGGAGAGGGAGAGGGAGAGGGAGAGGGAGTGGGAGAGGAGAGGGAGAGAGAAAGAAGGTAGGTCGTCCTCTTTATTGATTTTACAATGCCGCCCGTCCGTCCACTCGTTCGTAGCTACAAATACAAATGCTTAGATCGGATCTTTTTACTTCTCCTCTTTCTTTTTTTGTCTCTCTTTTTTCTTAAGCGATATCGGCCTCTTCGTTTCCTTACTCTTTGCTATTAGTAGTTACGGGCTACTCTTATAAAGTAGGTATAGTATATACCTCTTTAGAATCTTTAGAAGTAGACTCTCTTTCTCTATTTTCGTTATAATAGATAGACTCTTCGTTTCCCTCTTTTCGCTATTATTTTTATCGGAAATAGACTCCCTCTTTATTATTATTTTTATAAGTAATAGGCTCCTTCTTCGTTATTATCTTTATAGGAAATAGGCTGCCTAAAAGACTCTCGTTCTCTATTTTTATAAGGAGTAGGCTTCCTAGTATTGCTTCGTCGTAAATTTTATTAGTAATAGGTATATTCTTTATAATAGAAATGTTTAGGAATAGTCTTACTAGTATTTCTTTACTACTATTCCTATTAGGAATAGACTCCTTTTTCCTAATAGAATAGACTCTATAGTATTCCTTTATTATTTTTATATAGAAAGTCGGCTCGAATAGGCTCTCTAGATTTGCTTTATTATTGTTTTTATCTAGAACTATTATAAAAAGCGACGCCGCTTCTAACGCTAAGTTAGAACTAGCTTTTATAACTTTATTATATAGTACTCCCTCTACTTCTTTACTTTAGGGAAGTAAAGAAGTCCTCTCGACTTAGGTATCTTTATCCCGCTACTAGCGTAGTATACTCCTACTCGCGGTATAATAGAAGTACTAGTAACCTTTCCTAGACGGGCTTAGTTCTCTCCTATCTTTTACGCCGGAACTACTACGCTTTATCGCTATCGGCGATCCCTCGGAAGCGTAAAGCCGGGCTTATAAGTATTATAGATAAGCAGTAAACCGATAGAATTACGTATATTAGAATACTCGAGAATATACGAGACTAGTTAGATAAATAAGTAGGAGAAGGAGAACGAAGTTAGGGGGTTATCTACCTATAGCCTAGTAATAGCTTATAATTCTTAGCGCTAGGATATATAAATAACTAGTAAGTCGTCTATTTAAATAGCAAGTAATTCTATCGGTTTACCGCTTATCTATAATAGTTATAAGCCCGGAACGTAAGTAAAGAAACGAGAAGGTTCGAGGAATTATCCGCTTAAGTAGTCCGCTTACGTATGCTTAAACTTTATACGATATTACTCTATAAATCAAAAAAGCGACTAGCTTCGAACGATAATAAGATAACGGTTATAACTCCGCTATAGATACTAGTCTATAGGCTAAAAGAACCGAATAGTACGGACTAAGTAAACTAAAAATTACTACGATATAACTACTACGACTCGAGATATAAAACGATAAAGATATCTACTATTAAGACGACTATCGGTATAGTAAAGGGAACCCCGTAACTAACTACCGAGAACTATACTATCGAGATCGATCTAATTTAAAACTATTTATCTAGATAAGGCCTTTAGAAGTATAGGGATAGTATACTAGAATCTATAAGCCGAGATCCGGCTAAGCTAAGAGAAGCTAAAAAAGAAGACGTAAAAGCGGTTGCGTTTATTAAGTCTACGGCTAGGGATAAGCGTATATACCTCCTAGGACTACGTACGACTAAGGAAGTATTCGAAAAATAAACGAAGTAAGTTATATATCGACTAAGGAACGGGTTTTAACGCTACTATTATATTTCTACTATTTTAAAGCCCTTAGGGATATTAATACTACGGCTTTAGCTTTTACGTATATCTAATACGAGATTAAGGCCGCGGATAAAGACGAAATTCCCTTAGAGGCCTCTAAGAAGGTAGTCCTTGTTTTATCTTTAAGAGAAGAGTATTCGTCTACTATATTTGCCTTAAAATCGGCCGTTTTATCTACTCTTTTCTACGAGAAACTAGTTTAACGACTACGGGACGTTAAATATACTATTACTACTTCTAAAAACAGTAAAGTAGTAGCCTAATATACTAAGGATTCGGCGAGAGATAAGGTTAGTAATAGAAAGGAGGATAATATAGCTAATAAAGCTAAAGCAAAGACATATTACTATTACTAAAAGGTCGGACACTTTAAATAGGACTATAGAAAGTATAAATAGGACTAAAAGAATAGAAAAATCTAAGAAAGCAATAAGGAGGAATCTAAGATCGTAGCTTAGACGGCTATCGACTCTACGACTCGACTATCTAGTAAAAGGGATTAGATCCTAGACTCCGAATATACTAGATATATACCTAACGATAAGAACTACTTAAAGGACTATAAGGAAGAAACTGGAAAAGTTACTCTAGCGAACTATAAAGCGATAAAGGTCGCAGAATTCGGTATAATCCTCGTATAGTTTAAGGGAATTCCGACTACGATTTCGGACGTTATATACGTATCCGGAATCGATTATAACCTGCTTTCGATAAGCTAACTCTCGGAAGGAGGTATTACGACTCTATATACTAAAGAAGGGACTATACTTCGAAGAATAAACAAGAACCTAGATAAAGTCGTATACGTCGGAAGATCCTACGTTATAAAAGAATCTAGATCTATCGAGACTTCGAGAGTAGCTACTACTACGACTAAAGTTACTACGCTACTTTAGTATTAACGCCTAGGATATCCGGAAGACGAAAAATAACGTAACGTATATAAAGTACTACTAGGAGTTCCGGACCTTTCGACGTTAAATAAGTCTTATAATATTTACATTACTACGAAGTCCGATAGACGATAAGAATCCGAAAAGGTAGATTATTGCCTAGATAGGGTATATATCGATTTCAAGGATCTATATAAGTATACTACCTTAGAGGCAAATAGGTATATACTAACGATTATAAACGATACTACGAGATAGCTAGATATTTGTCTTACTCGCTATAGAAGCAAAGTATACGAAGTCTTTAAGGCTTAGAAAGACGAGGCCGAACTTAAACCTAAGAGGAAACTAAAGGCCGTAAGAATCGATAACGCTCTAGAGCTTATTAAAGCTCTTAAGGCCTATCTAGGACTACGAATCGAAAAAACGATACCCTATACTTTAGAAGAAAACAGGGTAGTAGAGAGACAAAACCGTACTATTATAGCTAAGATATAGGCGGCTTTAGAAGGCTCCGGATTACCTAAATAATTTTAGGGTAAGGCGGCCTATACGCTTACCTATTTATATAGTAGGCTACCTGCTAAAAGAAGAGATATAACTCCTAAGGAGCTCTATACCGGAAGAAAGCCTAGTAGAGAATACTTATAGATATTCGGCGATCTAGACTCTCTGTTTATTCCTAAAGAGGAAAGGAGGGATAAGCTAGAAAAGACGGCATTTCTAGGTATCTTCGTTAGATATATAAAGTCTACGAAATAGTATAGAATTTATAATCCTAAGACAAAGGCTATCGGGATCTATACTAGCGCTAAATTCTACGAATCGAATAGGGGAAGTAGCTATTATAAAGAAGTAACGCGTACGTAGATACCAGATATAAGACTTAATAGGTTCGATAAGGAGCTAAGTCTATCTACGTAAATCCGAATATTTTTATATAGTACGCTAAGCGCTAAGCGGTAGATTAGAATCGTATAGGCCGAATGCCTAAGGCTAGTGCCTTCTACCTAGGGCGTAGCCCTTTATATTATATCTGTCCTCCTCCCCCTCTTTCGTAGAAATAGAATACTCCTTATAGTTTCTAGCTATAAAGGGCTACGCCCTAGGTAGAAAGCGCTAGCCTTAGGCGTTCGGCCTACGCGACTCTAACCTACTACTTAGCGCTTAGCGTACTATATAAAACTGTTCGGATTTACGTAGATAGACTTAGCTCTTTATCGAACCTATTACGGGAAGCTTT